ATGTATATATATATTTATATACATATGTATATTTATATACACACACGTGTGTATATATACACACATATATATACATACATATGTGTGCGTGTATATGTGTATATAAATTTATATACACATATATATTTATAGACACACATATATATATACACACACATATGTGTGTGTGTGTATATGGGTGTACATAAATATATATATACACATCCAAAACCCTTCCCAGCTCCCAATCTTAGTTGGGAAGAGTTTTGGGAGCTGGGAAGAGTTTTGGATGTGTATATATATATTTATATACACACACATATATATACACGCACATATATATGCGTGTGTATATATAGACATGCATATATATGTGTATGTATATATGTGCGTGTATATATATGTGTGTGTATATAAATATATATATACACATCCACATACATATGTGTGTATACATATATACACACGTGTGTATATATACATACACACACACGTGTGTATACACACACACACGAGACAAGAGTAATGGTATATTGAAAACTGTGGGATCTGAGCATGACGGGCTGTGGTGTGGAATACCCCTTTGGTCAGTTTGGGTCAGGTGTCCTGTCTCTGCCTCTTCCCAGCTTCCCCTCCTCCCTGGAAGAGCATGAGACTCAGAAAATCCTTGGGCAGAGAAACATTACTGAGCAACAACTAAACACATCAGTGCTATCAGCCCTGTTCCCAGGCTGAAAGTCAAAAACACAGCACTGCACCAGATACTAAGACGGAGAAAAATGACTGCTACTGCTGAACTCAGGACACAAACACTGTTTCTTGGGCCAAAACCAGGTTATCTTTAAACATCCTAAAAAGGAAACCATGTTTACTGTGATTGGACAGAGTCATCCTAGAAATGTAATCAAATTAGATCATAATCATCTTAACATCTGAAAAACATCAGAGAAATGATTTGTCTAAATCACAGACTTCACAATATCATTTCACTGGAAAGGGAAAAATGCTGCCAGCATTCTAACTGTAGTAACTTAGCTGCAGTATTACTTCACATCTACCCCTACACAACCTTAAAAAAAGAGGAAGTATGGGAAGAAAGTATAATTAGGAATGTTGTCATTCTATTGCAGTATCTGAAAGTCCACTGCCCGTCAGCTTTAGAAGCTCCTCCTCCTCATCCACACTAATTCACCAGGAAAGAACACAGACCCTGGGTGGAACAGGGAGGTACAAATATGTAACTGCCACCGGCTAAGTTTCAGCAACCATTGTGCTATAATTTACCCATTAAGTCACTCGGTTAAGGAAAGGCAATTAAAAACAAATTAGTGCTTAAAATCAGCATAGTTAAGTGGAGAAGGCTTTTCCCAGCTCTAAAAAGAGTTATCAAATTTAGATCTACTCTATTCATAACAACAAAGTGGAGAGTTTAAAAACTGCCCGTAGAAATTGCTCCTGGGAGCAATCCTTCCCTTAGGGTGCGCTTAGTAATCAACAGACGCATTCTGCATCTCTAGTCAAAGAAGTCACAGAACCCTTAAAATCTTTTAGGGCTTCATTCTTCTAGGGAGTGCTGCAATGAAAAGTACTCAGTGAGAGTACTGCATGTCAGTGTGAAGCAGTTCTCTTCTTTTGTTGCAGGTAAAGCTACATACTGTCTATCTGGAGTTTAACAACAAAAAAAGCACTTAACAGAAAGTTAACAAATTAACCAAGCCATCTTCCAACAGCTTCATTCATATTAAAATTATTCACAAGGTAAACACAAAACTTATACTCACAGCATTCAATCCCAGACATAACCATAAAATAACAAGTCTAATTAAACACAGCCAAGAAGCCATTTCCCAGTTTCTTCCTGACTGAGTTATAATCTCTTCTTCCACTTACACTGAATTTCTGTGAGACGGACTGATTGTACCAGACTGCTTAGAAACAGGTAAGGAAAGACAACTCAATGTACTGGCACACTTAACAAGTTCTGAAATATTTTAGGGTTTTTTCCCCTGCTAGGTTTTCGAATCAGACATTTTTCAGAAAAGATGCTTTGCATATAATTATTCTTCCATTCAAAGGACAGAGGAAAAAAAAAAACCAAAACCCACACACTATGAAGAGATATGAATCAAACAGTTACACAAAAAAAACAACAACCTTGTGTTGTCAAGTTAGCCTTACAATGTCCACTTTTTCCTCATACATCACTGCACCCACTTATTGTTTGCAGCTTTCACTTATTACCACATCATGATCAGCATTTCAAAGAAGGAAAGTGTCTTTTTTTCTGTGAAATGCCTCAGATATTAAACAATCAGAACATGAATTCTTCCCTCTCTGTTTCTGCTCAGCAGCCTGATAATGGAGTTACTTAGCAACAGATGAAGCAACTGAACTGTATTGCCTGATCCACATTTCACTGTATAGCAGCACTAACAAAGGCATTATTTAGCTGATGGTTGCCTCTGTATAGATGTATTTTTGACGTACAAAATCCATTAGTCCGAGACACACCTACATGAAAACGCAGGCATCACATACCATCTATAATGGACTACACATTTTGAAATTAACAGAAATTGCTTGTAAGAGTCACATGATTTTGAGCATCTCTGAAAAGGAGGAAACAAGAAAATATGAAACACCCAGAGTAGATTTAAAGTATTTACACAGAAGCTAGAGAAGCTGTTTAAAAAAGGAGGCAGAAGGGAAAGGAGTCTTCTTCCTATACCAGATTGACCATCTGTGAACTTCAGATACACAAACTCATATGTCAAATTCTTGCCACAGAATATTTTTATTTCAGACAATGAATACTTTGTAGTTTTGAAAATACAAGTTTCCCCAAACCACCTTCTTCCCCAAAAGTGTAGCAAGTGCCACAGCAAATATTAGCAGTTGTTTTACTTTAGAAGGCGCTCTTAAAAACAAACGTAACCCACAGAATTTGACAAATCACAGTGCAATTATCATTTGCCACCAACCGTGACTCCCTTGTGAGCTAACTCTACGGCATTAAACATAACTACCTTGTCTTTCTATTATTTTTCAAAGTGAAAATGTTTCTTTTACAACTGCATGAGAATTTCTTGCAAGTTGCCTTGGTTCATCATACAAAATTACACTTCCAGAAAGATTTTAATGTCTCTTCCCCCAGCAAGGTAAAAGCACATCAGTTTCTGCAGCTTGGTCATCTAGTGAAATCATTCGAGCGTTATTTTATTCTAAATATTCAGCACATGGAGTTCACGGTTTTGTAAATTATTCCATGTTTGCATTTCCAGTCCAAGATTTAAGGAGCTGAACTTGGACTTTACAAAGCTAAACCAAGTCTGACCCAATTTTATTTGTTCCTTAAAAATTAAGATTAGGCAGCAGCTTTAAACAACACTACACATTTAAAAAAAATAAACTACATTCATGAAGAGTTGTGCAAAGGGTTAGTTTTCGTAAGTCGTTTGACAAAATTTCAGAAATGATGAAATTATGAAAAGGAAGCTTCTGAGAGTATGTATTTTTGTCTTATTTCCAATGAAAAATTAATGTTACATTTCCAATAATGAGGGCAACCAAACTGCAAGTGAAGAACATCTTTCCCATTTGTCTTGAAAAACAGGAAGATACTTCCTATGTCCTATTCCAACTGGTAATTTAGATGACATTTCAGATGGTAAAACCACAAAACTTTTGAGCGTTAACAATTGTAGTGTCAACTTTTTAGGTTACATTTCAGACTATAAAGAGAATAAAAACTTCAATGTAAATAACCATAATATGTATTTATAAGAACATCCTCTAATGATCATGCACTTATGTAGGCATTTGTATATAAAACAATCTTTATGTACAATTAAGTAATGTTCCATGTACAGCTATGCAGACCTTAAGTGTGCAAAAGTTTTTTCCTCTTTCATTCAAAGATAAATTATACTTTGAATTTCCCTACCTTCTTCCAGTTAATTTTTTCAGGAGTATGCTTTCCTTCCACACTCCTCAGAATTTTCATTTCTATTTATTTATTTTAACCAAAATATTTTCATGCATTAAGATAAATACTGCAAGGACTAATGCTGACAGTACTCAAGATTTTATTTAGAGGAGGAGAGGACACATCCTTTTTTTCTGCGTATGAACCATTTCAAGATCTCAGTTTTGGTCGTTAGCTCCTATTTCTCAACTTTCTACATTTCTTCAAAACCAATAAATGGCAGGTTGTAGGGTTTTTTAAACAGAAACCATTCTCAAATGAACCATCTCAGGCATTAGTTCATGTTTGCTACTTGAAGCCAAATACATAATGACTGAGTACAAGGTATGTTGTTTTGTTACAAATACAATTTATTTGTTCCAGTTCAACAGCTTTCAAACTGAAGATTATAAGCCTGACGTCAGCTCATAATTAAGAATTCCAGTGCAAGCAAATTTGTCTACTTACCTGAAAAAAAAAAATAGAAAAAGACAGTGTTCTACTATACCATTTAGCAGATACTGGCTTTTCACATTAGAAACAAATCATTTCAAAGACTACTTATAATTAAGGACACAAGACAGTTTTATTGCTTCCTTCTACCAGCACAGGCACACTACTGCATCCTGACAAGAAAGTGACATATTTCAAGAAAAGATTATTAGAGCACACTAAACAACCCAACCTCCAAAAACCTTTTCATTTCTGTAAATATGCACTTCTTACTGTAGGAAAACAGTGGTATAAAGAAAAGAAACATTCCGTATGGACTAAGCATTTTCTGTACATACTGGTCATCTTCCAAGCAATTACTTCCATGTAACATCATGCTGAACCCAAAAGTTAATATGCATGGGGATTAGCATTAGTTTAACTTCTAGTTTGAGTGATCTTTTGAGCTCTCTCTGTAGAGCCCAAATTTTCACAGCTAGACAACATTTTTAAGCAATTCACTGCCAAAAAGTGGCTATTCTGAAGAAAGTTTTGACAATGAAAAGCAAGAGAAAGCTCTAACAATGAAAACACTATGGGGAAAAAAATCAGGACATGTACTTACTAATTTGTTTTCTTGCATGTATATTCTTTGCAGTTTCAGGCAGCCTTTAGCTATAATGATCATTCCTTCATCTGAGATCTTGTAACACTGCCCAAAATGAATGTCTTTCAATTCTCTGCATTTTGAACCCAGCTGCAATTAAAGAAATCAAAATAATTATTTCAAAATAAAGGGGAAGGAAAAAAAAAGAAAAAAAAAAAACAAATACAAAACAAAACAAAAAAAAAGCCACCAGGATTTGACTGAACTGGAAATTTGGGAGTTCAGCTTGCTTCCTGGTTCTCTGCCACCCCTTAAAGATTATCCTTCTTTGCAGGTTTTGCAAGTACTATCACAAACAAAGAAGATTATAATTACATACACGATAAAATGAAGTTGTTAACTACAGTCAACAAAATGGATCTAAAAGCAGCACCTAAGAACCAAGTTATTTTTTGAGCATATATATAAGTACCTAATGCCTGTATGCCAGAGCACTGATAGCATATTTAGCACAACTACTTCATAGAATCACAGAATAGTTAGGGTTGGAAAGGATAGTAGGTAGGAAAGGATCTCAAGATCATCAGGTTCCAACCCCGCTGCCATGGGCAGGGACACCTCGCTCTAAACCGTATCACCCAAGGCCTCCTCCAACCTGGCCTTGAACACTGCCAGGGATGGAGCATTCACAACCTCCCTGGACGACCTATTCCAGTGCCTCACCACCCTAACAGGAAAGAACTTCCTCCTTATATCCAATCTAAACTTCCCCTGTTTAAGTTTTAACCCATTACCCCTTGTCCTACCACTACAGTCCCTAATGAAGAGTCCATCCCCAGCATCCCTATATGCCCCCTTCAGATACTGGAAGGCTGCTATGAGGTCTCCACGCAGCTCCTTTAACATAAACGAAAGAGTTGATGAAAACATCCTGCGTGTCTAACAAATAAAGATCTCAGCCACCTTTGGCTTTCATGATGCAAAAAGATTTACTTAAGCACTGATTTCAAGTTACAACTAAGCTCAGCAAAAATTAATTAGCCAGAGGTGAAGTACAGGATGTCAAACTAAAGATTACATTCATGCAACGCTTGGGTATTTTTAAAAAAGTACACAGAGGCTCTGGAAAATAACATTTACTGTACTGAGAAAATACATCCATAAACCAATTTTTTAAGTCAAAGAGGTCATCTGATTTTAATTACATCCTAGAGGACGGTACCTTCTTCCATGTCACTTCTTGTACTTGGCAAGAAGCTGGAAGACACTAATTTATAAAGAAATCAGTGGAAAGGATGGTTACCTGCTTCAGGCCTTCATCAGTGAGTCTGTCTTGATTGCCTACATGCACTTTCTGAAGAAGAGGACACTGAGAGGCAACTGCAATAATAGAGGTATCAGAAAGTTGTTTACACCTGTAGGCAGTATACCTTAGGAGTCCAGGACACTTAATAGCTAATATGCATACTCCTGTATCAGATATATTGCGACAATCAGAAATATTGATTTCAGTAATATTCTGGCTTCTTGATGCTATCTTTTCCAACAGCTCATCAGTGACCTGCAAAGAAAATCCAAATATTAAAATTTTTTTTCATAAGCATCTTTAACTTCACTAGCATAAAACCTACTATTTGTAAGATGCATTTTTTTAAGCTACTGGGTGAATGAAGATATTTGTTTTCCCAAGATAAGAGCATACTGGTATAATCAGTTTTACAGTTATCTTTAAAAGAATTCTGCTTCAATTCTTTGAGTTAATGGTCCGCTTCACATTTTAGACAATTCTCCATGCTTTAGAAAAAAAAGGACTTGCTTGCTCTTCTATAGCAGCATTCTACTTACATACCTAAGGTAGCATTTACAAAGAAGCAAAGAGTTTATAGGTCCCTGAAATGCAACAGTTTCTAGGCTTCGGTAACCATCCAAAACCAGCTGCCAGTGGATAAATACCATAGCAATGCAGGTACCAATGGGGTTTTTAACAGTCGAAAATAGTCACCTAAAGGTAGCAGTGAATGAAAGGGATCAGAAGGAAAGAACAGCATAGCAGGAAAAAAATGATTAAAACCTAGAAGTTTCCTCATGTTATTTGTTCAGTTTTAAAACAGAACACTTACATATTTTAAGTGTTAGTCTATGAAAGACCATTAAAACAGATACATGCGCTATTTCCCAGAGATCCTTTGAAGAAAAAAGGTTCTATCCACTTTGTACTTTGTACCTAAGTACATTGTACTTAGTTAATACTTCAATAATTTTAAAAGAAACCAGTCCTACAAAACAGGCAAGAAACCCAAGTCATTCTTCATGCTCAAAATTCCAAGTAAAAATAAACAAAACCAAAGCAGGTAAGACAATGCATGGAACTCCCTCACTTTAAAAGTTTAAGTCACCTGACATGACACCTGATGAAAGTCTTTCTAACAATACCATTCAGGAATATACATCCACCACTTAGCATAGATGAGATTTAGTCTTAAGCCTGGAGAGGGCGAAAGAGCAGCCCAAATCCTTTTGTCTTTCTCTTAAACAGCTGAGAAGCAAACACTTTGCTACATTCAAACTTTTCCATTAGTAGTAAGTCTAGTCTTTTTTCTTCCTATTTCGTCAGGCAGCTGTTAGATAGAAAACACGACAAATTGGAAAAAAAAACCAAAAAATAAACCATGAACACCACCTAAACGAAAACCTCCCTGCCAAAAACAAACAAAAAAACACAACAAAAGAAAGCACCACACAACCAACAAACCAAAATAAAAAAAACAGCAACACCAACAATAACCAAAATAACGAAACCACCAAACCCACATCACCACACACAGCAGGATAACATTTTTGCTTAAAACTGGTTTAAGAACTCACTTTTATTGAGACCCCAACATACCTAACAGGCAAAACCATGAAAAACCTTTGCAGCAGGAATAAGGCTACCCATCAAGATAGTGAGAAAAAAAAAGACTTAACTTGGCACATACTACCCGCAGGGCAGAAAGATGGACCTCTGGTCTGGGTCTGCTTTGGAGTCACTTAAGAAGAACCAGACCATCTACTATATGATTTTTCCATAATGGTTCAGAAATATGTTATCTAGTAACTCCAAAAGCTAGAGAACTTGCATGCTTTCGTATGCATTGGTGATTTGAAAAGAGTGTACATGTGATATTATTTATGTCCAACACAGAGGACTTAATGTTGCTGCTGCTTTAAATGGGACTTTCCAGTACTTGTTTCCTTGCACACTATACTTTCATAAAGTTCATAAATCTCTGCAACTAACTGAACAACAAGAAAGCTAAATTAGATGGCCAAACAACACAGACACCCTTAAAAGAAGTTTTCTAAGGAGGAAAGTTACTCTCAGCAAACTCACGCTATGCTCTGTAAGGATCTCACTAAATTAAATCCATGAACCCCAAACATACTTAATGCTAGGATCAGGTAAAGGCCTAAAAAGACGCTGTCAGTTTTGTGATCAGTAGGAGCCAAATCAGTTGAAGAAAAATTAAAGAAAATTTGTTAAAACAAATAGAGCAAGCACCAGTTACGTGCTTCTTCAAACTAGGACATCTTTAGAAAAGATCATTAATTGGGTCCTTCAATTAAAATGAAGTCTGATAGTTCTTATGAATGGAACTACCACTACCTGATTTTGAACAGTGCTTGAGCTCACACTGTTTAAAAAATGAACAGTTGGGAGAAGCTACATTTAAAAGAGTTAATCTAAGGGGTCCAGATATTTTCAGGCTCTAGTAGAAAAATCCCTGAAAGTACAGACATCACCATTTTATGTAGTTCTTTGGCTCAACTTTGGTTAAAGTACAAGTTCTGAGAACAAATCCTGAGTAGTCAAAATATGGTATCTCCATACCTGTTGACGACTGCTGAGATCCAGTTGCTTCCAAAACTGAAAATCTAAACAGAGGTCACGCCAATATTTACAGACTAGTGATGCTGAAAGGCAACGCTCATTCAGGGATAAGTTGGAAAATATCTGTAAAGGAGAAAAAATATTGTCAGAAGTAATCATATTTTAGATACAGAAATATTATATTACTAAACCATCTTGTAAAACAAATGTATCAGAAAGCACTGCGACATTCTAGAACTTGCCAGAACTCGATTAATTAAGGACAATAACAAAAATATCTATATCCCACATGTCCTGGGTTTAGCAGTAGCAGTCATTTTTTTTCCTCTTTCTTGGTAGCTGGTGCAGTGCTGTGTTTTAACTTGCGGGCTGGGAACAAAGCTGATAAAAATGATGTTTTGGTTTGGCCAAGGACTTTGTGAGCCTCATGCTCTGCCAGGGAGGAGGGGAAGCTGGGAGCAAGCAGAGACAGGACACCTGACCCAAACTGACCAAAGAGGTATTCCATACCACAGCACGTCATGCCCAGGATGTAACTGGGAGGGACCCAGAAGGGCTGGGAGGACTGCAGGGTTGGAGGAGGTATTGGCTGGTGCTTGGTCGGGCTGGGGGGGGGCGAGTAATCGGTCGCCTGGAGATGAGGTGTTGTATTCTCTTCTCTTGTATTTCCTTTATCATTACTATTATTGGTGGTAGCAGTAGTGATTTGTGTTATACTGATGGCAGAGGGTTGACCAATGTACAGGGGGGTTGTACAGGGGGTTTGGAGGAATTCGATTGCTTAAGCAGAGGTATTGTCTGTACCTATCATGCCTACTAAGCAGAACAAAAGCACTAGCTATTGATAAGGAAAAGCAGACACTTGGTTCTATTGACAAGGAAAAGCAGACACCTGATTCTACTGATAAGCACCTATTGATAGGGAAAAAGCAGACCCCTGAATCTACTGTTAAGGGGGAGAAGCAGATGGTTGATGGCTGGGACCAAACCCTAAGGCCATACGTGAAGACTCAAAGGTGAAAAGTTCAAGAAGAGGAAGACTCATTTACTTCATCTTGAAGACCCCCACCCACAGGAGGAAGACTCATTTACTTCATCTTGAGACCCCTGCCCATGACCAGAGGGGGCACTGCGCAGGTGCAAAGGACCTTCTAGCTCACTGTAATACAAAGCGGGGACAGGACATGAATATGTATAGGCGTATGGTGCAACCTTATAAATGTAGAGGGAAACAACACTGAGGCATGCATGACTTTGAGGAATTATCCCCGTGCATCTCAGCGCTGAATAAAAAGCATACCTACTTTACAACTTCAACGAGTTGTGGAGTCAATCCGTGCATCAATACCTTAGCTACTAAACTGTTCTTATCTCAACCCGTGGGAGTTGCATTCTTTCTGATTCTCCTCTCCGTCCCTACAGGAGTAGGGGGAGGGCAAGAAAGGGGGGGGAGTGGGTAACAAGCTGTCTGGGTGGGGTTAAACCACGACAGTTCTTTTGGCGCCCAACGTGGAGCTCAAAGGGGTTGAGATAACGACAGATCTGACTGGATTAATAGTCACTCGTCACAATGCTGATTTATTGGCTCTCAGAGTTGTTCCTCTTGATCTCACAGCTTCAGAATGCTGTAACTTACTTAGAGCCGGTATTTGCTGTGTTAGTGTTTATCAAGTGTGGGGCTTGGGCTAAGGTTCCTGTCTCACTGTACTTTATGGCAATGACTTGTAATACGGGCGGGTTCCGGCAGCAGGGATGGACGGACGTGGCCGTGGACTGGTCCCTGGCTGTCCGGCTGCTCTTCACCGTCCTGGCCCTCGCCCTCGCCTCCGTCTGCGTGAGGCCACAGCGAGCTGAGGGGAAGCGGCCCCAGGAGCCGGCGGCTGCTGAAGCGGCCCGGGAGAGCGGCCCCGGGCACCAAGCAGGAGCAGGGCCGGAGGCCGGCAGGGAGCAGCTGTCGGTGGAGGAAGCCGGGGTGGTCAAGGAGCGGAAGGAGGTGGCTGCCAAGCAGCGGGAGAAGGCGGTGGAGGAGCCGAGAACCGCAGAGGAGCCGAGCCCCGCAGCCAAGAGCATTCCCCGGAAGCCGCCCGCCAAGCCCCAGGAGGACGCAGGAGGCCCCGCAGGACTTCCCAGCAAGGCAGAGGAGGAAGAGCTGGACTCCGGAAAAAGAGAAGCTGGTGGTGGGAGAGCCGGCAAGCACAGCAGCTACACCAGCCCCAGTGACAAGCACGGCAGCTACACCAGCACCAGTGACAAGTACAGCAGCATCGTTTGAGAGTTGTGAAGGTCTTGAATGTTTTTTGGGTATCATTGAGACCTGCCTGCTGATTGTGATGGGGATCAGCATGCTGGCACACACACAGAGTGTGTTTTACCCACCACCATTTTGTTTGATCTCAAAAGTTAAGCAGAGTCGGGTTTGGGTCTTTTCTAGGGTTAGACGACGATATGGGAGAACCAAGAGGTTTCCCCCAAGGCTGGACAGCCATGAGTGGCAGGGTGTGTGGGATAGTATGGGCAAGTATCTAGTCCACTGGGCCCCTCCAGTGCTTTGGAAACATTAGAGATGGAAGGCAGCTGTACGGAGGCCCCAGCAACAAGCTGCAGAAACTGCTGAAGGGGACAATGAATTATTTTGAGCCTGGTCGGCCCATGACCCTTAAGGCCATCAGAGCAGAGATGCAACATCGTGATGGACTCATGATCGAGGGGTGGACTTAGCAATGGACACTGTTGCCCAGGTTATTCACAAGTGTAAACACTGCACACAGTCTCTCCTGCTCTGGAAGACTGGTACAAGAGATGGAGCCTGGTATCATGGACAAGATGGACTCAGCAGCTTTATAGGGCCTGGCCCATGCACTACGATAAGAGTGCACTTAGGTAAGAGTGATGGTATATTGAAAACGTGGGATCTGAGCATGACGTGAATGGTATGGAATAAGGGGTGGATAATGACCTGGGTTTAGCAGTAGCAGTCATTTTTTTCTCTTATTTCTTGGTAGCTGGTGCAGTGCTGTGTTTTAACTTTCGGGCTGGGAACAAAGCTGATAAAAATGTTTTGGTTTGGCCAAGGACTTTGTGAGCCTCATGCTCTGCCAGGGAGGAGGGGAAGCCGGGAGGAAGCAGAGACAGGACACCTGACCCAAACTGACCAAAGAGGTATTCCATACCACAGCACATCATGCCCAGGATGTAACTGGGAGATACCCGGACTGCAGGGTTGGAGGAGGTATTGGTCGGTGCTTGGTCGGGCTGGGGGGGCAAGTTATCGGTCGCCTGGTGATGAGGTGTTGTATTCTCTTCCCTTGTTATTTCCTTTATCATTACTATTATTGGTGGTAGCAGTAGTGATTTGTGTTATACCTTAGTTACTAAACTGTTCTTATCTCAACCTGTGGGAGTTGCATTCTTTTTGATTCTCCTCTCTGTCCCTCCAGGAGTAGGGGGAGGGCAAGAAGGGGGGGGAGTGGGTAACAAGCTGTCTGGGTGGGGTTAAACCACGACATCACAACAGCTGACAATATTAATAAGTCACATTAGCACAACCAACAACAGAATGTTTCCTACTTAAGCACTCATTTCTTAGACAAATTCAAATGTGCTTCTGAGAAGGCATACCTGAAGAATTACAAATAGAAATGTTAGCTCAACATTACTTTCAAGTCATTTAAAAGGTGCTTCCATTCCTACTCTTAACTGAATTGAAAAGAAGACTCACAAGGGTACTAAAACATGAGTCTTGTGGGAAGAGGGCATGGGACAGTAGAGCAGATCAGCAGAGCAAATCAGTGTCATACAAGGAAACTAAGCACAGAATTAGCATTCTGTTCCCCAAGGTTTTGAGCACAACAGCAGCTTCCAAAAAAAAAAAAAAAAAAAAACTGTAACTTTATGGCAGTCTCCTAAACTGCAGTTAAATTTGTTATATTCAGCCCTTCCTCTGAAGAGCTGTTGCTTATTAATAAATACAAAAAGAAAGTCTGTCAAGAGTTACATACAAAGGTACCCTGTAACTACAAATGAATTTTAATCTACACGTCATCCTATTATGAAAAAAGGCCATTACAGCATTAAGATACCTATACACAAATACAGACTGCAAAAACATGAAACAGTCCTCCTACTAAACTGATAAGGACATCAAGTACTAAACAGAAGCACTATAGCCAATATCAGGGCAAGAAGCTCAAGAAAATCTGAAAGTATTGGAGAGTGTCCATAGGAAAGCACTGATCTCTAGAGAACATGAAACATTTGAAGAAAAGGCTAGGAAAGTTTAACCAAGGGAAAGGGATGCCGAAGAAGGTAAACAAACTAAAGAGACCACTTTCATCTTCATTGTGGTGAGTAGGGCACTCAAAAATTGTTAAGACTCCTAAGGATAATCAGACATTGGAATATAATACCTGGTAAATTTACAGAATTTCCATCACTGGGTGGTCTTTAGAACAGACTGGGCAATCAACTGTCAACAGGGACAAACATTACTAACCCCATGTTCTAGGGGTGGCTTAGCTTAGCAGTTTTAAGTATGTATATCCCTGTAAGATTCCCTTGGCTATGGTGAGTTGGTTGACAATTCCTAAAAGATCTGCAAAATATAATACAGCAAGTAAAACTGAAAAAAAACCCAAAAAAAAAAAAAACACAAAAAAACCACAACAACACTCAAATTTCAAATTCACTACCTTCTGCAAATGCTTGCAAGGTTTATCATTCCCATCTTCTTCCAGCTATGGAAAACTCATAATTTCTTATGCAAGACCCCTCACAGTGCTGAAGGACTGCATATGACTCCAGTTTTCCTGCAGGCCTTGGCTTGACCATTACCAGAGTCAATGGCCATTTTTTATTAAGGAATCAGGTGAACACAGGTGGACGAAACAGCCAGTGCCTGCTTCCTCCCTGCAGTTCTCTGACTGACGATGAATCCATGCACAGAGCACAGAAGTGACCAATACTTGTCATTAATATTAGAGACATAATGAAAACACTATCAGCCCCAGTCAAGCAAGGAAAAAGTAAGTGGCAATTTGGCATCTGACATTCATACTGTAAAAGTATAATTCAAAGTATTAAAAAAAAATATGATCCTGATGATTCTCTTCAATTCTAAGTCAGTA